TCCCAGTCCAGTGCTAACTGTAAGGCACCACACCAGGAGCCCATGGCCTCTATTAAGAGGTGGTTTTAATTCCTTTTCACATGCAGTGTGAGGTTGGCAGTGATGCTCACTCTCTAGGCTGAGGAGCACTCTTCATCTGCTGCAATGCTTTGGCACCTTTGTCAACATTTGAGTGGGATGATTTCTGAACTTGGCCTTCCTTGCTCCACAGCTACGTGTGGCAATCATACTGTTAATATGAATCCCCCACTGTCTTCATTACAGTAACTTTAGAGTTAAGTCTTCCATTTGGGCAATAGAAACCAACTAAATTCATCTTTTTTTCACATTGTTTCACAATTGTTTTAGCTATTCTCATGGGGAGCTGGGCTAAGAGACACTGACATGAAGAAAAGAAAACCCAGGGAGGGTCCTCTGCACCTCCGCTGGAAGGTTCTCCTGGCATGTTCTCTCACTACACCAACATCATGCTTGGTAAAGGGAAGGGTCAGCGACAAAGAGGAAGAACCCAAAGAGATGGAAGGACACAGTGGCAACAGCAAGGGGCTCACGCGTAACAAGAATTGTGGGACCAGCACAGGGTCAAGAAGTGTTTTGTTCTGTTGTACACAGGGTCACTGTGGGTTAGAACTGACTCGATGGCACCTAACCACAGCATCTAGACAACAGATGCCCACTGCCATGCTGTTGCTTCGGACTCACAGAGGCCCGACAGGACTGAGTAGAACTGCCCCGTGAAGTCTCCAAAGTTGTCGTCACATGCAAAGTGACTGACTGCCATCTTTCTCCATTGAAATCTCTGGAAGGTTCAAACCGATGACCTTTCAGTTAGCACTGAGCCTTTTAACTACTGTGCAACCAGGTGGATGGTTCAAGATCAGTTTTCATCACCATAACAAAATCAAAACATGATTTACTTAATTACCTAAATAATTCTCTATTATAAAGCACTTCAATGGTAGAGAGAAGTTCAAGTATAAAGTAATATAAAACCTATAAAAACAACTCACATCTCTCTAAAACTGTTGTTATAAAATAATGTCAGCAGTTCAAACCCACCACCTGCTCCTCAGAAACCCTACCCAGGGCGGCTCTCAGTTGGAATGGACTGGATACCACTTCACAACAACAAGAAGATCACTGAACCCATTGGCATTGTAGTAACTAAAGCCACCAGGTGCTCAGCAGTTACTATGTACAATCACCTGGGCCAAGCACTCTCTCGATCTTACACCAGTCTGTCTGAGCAGTTCTTTTCCTATTGGAAATGGAGGTACAAAGGAAGTTAATAACATACCCAAAATGGTGAAGTCAGGATTGAACCCAAGTCACATGACTTGAAAGTCCATACATAAAACAACTGTAATCCCTAAAATCCATGAATGAGCAGAGCAGAGAGATTCCCCTGCTCAACTAAGGTACTCTTCTCTTTGTAGTTGTTGTCATTAAGTACTCTCGAGTTGGTTCCAACTCCTACCGATCCTGTACAGGGTTTCCAAGGAGGTGCTGGCAAGTTTGAACCACTGACTTGCAGTTCAAACCAACCTTATGGTCAAGTGTTTATCCTACAGCACTATACCAGGATCCAGAAAATAAGGTGATTCTTTCAAAAAAGTAATAGAATTCTGAACCACATAATAAAAAAATCAACCAGGTTTCTAAGACTGGGACAGCGATCATGTGATAACTTATCACATAAACCACAGAGAGGCAAGGCTGACAGAAAAAGTATAAATTATTCAGAAAAGGGGCCTCAAGGTAAGAACACAGAGACTAAACTATTTGACTTGAAACAGAACAGAGACATAAATTATTTTACAACTGAGCTCAATTCTCTAAAAAGTCTGCTGATCAATTATATAACATTACCATTTTTGTCATGTGTTTACAAGGGGGGCGGGTTTCCAAAGTTCATGGAAAAATGAAATTAAACAATAATGGAGTTTTTCTACAAACTTTAAAAAAATATCCTCCCTCCTTCCCCACAGTCTGCAAATACATTTAAAAAAAAAAAACAAATACAAATTTTCTCTGGAAAATATACAATTTTCAAATTGATTCTCATTCAGCTGTAACAATTTAAAACTAACTAAAACTGAAATGATACATCCTAAATCAATGGCTTTCATCGACATGGGTTCAATATAGGGCCATAAAACAAGAAATGCTACCTCCCACTGCCCACCTGTGCCCTCCAATGAAGGAGCTGTTCTTCACATACAGGGAGAGCTCCCATTCGTGAACTTGCCAGTAACATTTTAAAAACTAAAAACATTGATCTATCATGTCTGTCTGTCTATCATGACCCCTCCTCAGCTTCAAATCACAAAGGACTGTGTATTACTGATGCAAACACTTATGTACCAAAGAGCCAATCTCAACATACAGGACTTTGAGGCAGTTAATGAAAAATGGCTAAACATTCAATAAAAGGACAGGGCTGAATCACAAGGCAGCTTAGAACTGGAGGTGCATCACCACTGAGGAGAGTGGCTATCTGTTTGTGTCCTCTGCCCAGGTAGCATAGTGGATTACAAATTGTGCTCTGAATCTATCAGCTGCTCTGAGGGAGAAAAATGAGGCTTCCTGCTCCCATAAAGATTCACAACCTCGGAAACCCTTTACAGGTCACTGTGAATCAGAACTGACTCCATGGCACACTACCACCAGCAACATACACTAAGAACATCATATACGTTGCTAAAAAGGCTGGCATATTGTAACAGGGAAACAGGAAGATGAATGATACAAAAGAACTGAAAACAAACCAAAACAATAAAAATTAGAATGTTAACCTCTTACACTGTCGTTTATATCCATGATGGAATAAACAGAGTTCAGTAAAAAATTATAATGCTTCTGTTGTTGTTGTTAAGGTCCGTCGCGTCAGTTCTGACACATAGTGACCCTGTGTAGGGTTTCTGAGGAGCCACTGGAAAGCTTGAACTGCCAGCTTTGAGCTTCAGACCAACCTTGCAGCAGAGCACATTAACCTGCAGCACCACACCGGGAGTGGCTTTAGAAAACAGGCAAGGGAAATGAGCAAGCGTACTGGATGAACGGACAAGGTAACCTGGTACCTCTGGTTTTACCACAATTTTATCACACTACACAAGTTGGCATAGACCTTGGTTCTTATTTTCGTTATATAACTTCAATCTGTTTAATCTTTCAGATTGTTTCTTGACTGAGCAACAAGTTTCACTCAATGATTTTCAATAGGGATTCCATATTAATTCTTGAAGAATATTCCATTTCTAGTGGCTACTTACCTCTTAAAAGGCGCTCTGGTAGCATAGGTGGTTATGAGTCGGGCTGCTAACCTCAAGGTCAGCTAGTTCGAAACTACCAGCGGTTCCGCAGGACAAAGATGAGGCTTTCTGCTCCCATCAAAGATTTACAGCCTTGGAAACTCTATAGAGGGTTGCTATGAGTTGGAACCGACTTCACAGCACAGCACGGCACACCACCACCACCACCACCACCTGCCTCTAAATCCTGCTCATAGAACTTACTAGTTTTTCATTTACTAATCAACAGGAAAACTTCTGAATTAAAATCAGGCCTAAATGCTTCCACTATGCTGGTCCAGCTCCTGGTGAAGTGACTCAGATTCTCCCAGCAAAGTGCTATCACCGCAGGCAGGGCCTCAGGGTTCCCTTTCACCCCGAGCTGTCACCAAGGAACCCCAGCCTGCATGTAGTGCTGCCAAGAACGAACTCACAGCCCTTGGGTGTGAGCTGGACTCTCTGTGTGTACAGGCCACATACACAGTTAAGAGTCACACAGAAGCCATGTTGCTGCTGATGCTAAGTGCTGTAAAGTCAGATCTGACTCATAACAACCCCGTATGGATGGGGTTTCCAAGGAGCGGCTGGTGGGTCTGAACTGCCAACTTTGCTGTTAGCAGTCCAGTGCTTATCCTACAGCACCATACCAGGACTCCACTCATGTTACTAGCAATGTGAAAATAAAATTCAGTTAACAGCTCATTTAAATAATAAATATTAGAAAATCAGGTACTCTATTCCAGTGGATCTTACATTTATTCCATTTTAACTCCATTCACTCGTTTTTCCATCAATTCAAAATTGACTGGCGCATGAAGAATTTCAGAAATATACATCCATACTAATGAAACATTCCTACATTATTGCTGGAATAAAAATGAACACTTGCCTATATAATTTGCCCTTGAGATTCCCCAAACATGACATTGTAAATGTAAACAGTCACAATAGATGTTAGAATTTCATATTTCATTTCCTAAGTGCATAACCCTACAGCATGAGACTGATTATATCAGAGTCCGGTGCATAAGGTATTCTGTAATAAAAATAAGGAAAGTGACAAACACTGGCTATGAGGTCTACCTTAGTAGAGGATTAGGACTTTTTACACAGACCTGCTTTGATTTGGGTCCTCAAATATAAACTACAGATACAGAAAACCCAATGTCAGTGTCATAAAGCACAGGCATGACAATGTCATAAGAAAATGACTCTCACATTGAAGATAAAGACTATTGTTGTTGTTGTTGTTAAGTGCCATTGAGTTAGTTTCAACTCATAGCGACCCTGTACAGGGTTTCCGAACCTGTAAATCTTCTGAAGCAGAAAGCCTCCTCTTTCTTCCAGGGAGGTGGGCTCAAAACACCGTCCTTGTGGTTCACAGTCCAGTGCTTATCATACAGAGCCCTAACTGTTACTGAATACCCTTTCTCCTAGTATTGTCCTCAACCTAAGAAGACTTCATGAACAACTCAGACTTCATGAGTACTGGCAAAGGTCAAGGTCAGAACTGTCATCTTTTCTCAACTGCACCTACTACGTGACATTGGGCAAGAAGCAAGTTATTAACACAGAAGTGAGAATCTAAACATCATTTTTAAATGTTGTGTAACTATCCACTCTGGTCCTAGCCCTTACAGGTGCTGAGTAGACCTTCCGGCCTTTGGAAGCATTGAAAACTTCAGGAAATGTGCATTCAGAGAAACGTACCAGACCGTTGTTTCCACTTGACTATCACTGAGCTGCCGGTTGTCCAGCTGGGCAAAGAGTGGGAAGAGCACTTGAATCCCTCCAATTGAGTGAATCGCACTATGAATTGAATGTGTTACTATAGCTTTCACATCCTAGGGTCAAAAACAAACATGTGTTTTCAATTATCAAAAAATAATTCTCATTACTATCTCCTGCTCCAAACTATCACACCTTGTCATTTTGAAAAGCCCTCAATTCTATAACTCAGTGCATGTTTTTTTAAATGAAGTATTTTTATAATCACTTTTAAATTCAACTAAACTTGAAATCTTCTAGACTGAAAACATGAAGCTACAAATCAAAATAAGGTGCTTTAGAAGAAGCTATAACATTAATGGATTTAAAGACACCCAGGTAAGTTTTATGTTAGAAAGTATAAGAAGTAAGTTCTAAAAGTAAACTGTATTTTTATATATAACACTGTCTGCTCAGCTAACCAATCACTGTACACTGAACACACAAAATTAACATATACGGCAGGTTTTCCTACTAAGGAACGAAGGCCTGGGTGAAGTATATAAGGGGGCTTCAAAAAGTTCATGGAAAAATAGAATTAAAAGATAATGGACTTTTTTCAGGAACTTTCTGAAGCCCCCTTGTATGCCTTATTTCATTCCCCCTCCCCTTCAACACACACAAAATTTTCTAAAAACAGAAGGTAGAAGGCCAACACTGCATTAAATACAATAGAAAACAAATAACAAAAGAAGTCCACTGACGCAGAACAAACACCCGAGCCCCTGTAGAATGGCGATGCCCACGGGCGCGATGCAGAAGCTGTTAGGGCTTCTGAGAACACACCCACCTGGAGCATCAGAGCGTGTGGAGAATGCACAAAAATGGATGCGTTTTCCTTTGGTGAAGACTCAAGACAGAGTTGTGCGTCAGTTGCTTTCGCGTTATAGGTAAAGGCAATGCTGCTGGCAAGCTTCCCATCATACAGAACCTGTTTGTGATGCTCTGCCAGGTGAATATCACTCTCAGATTTAAACTTGAATGTGCTCTGAAACAATAAAATGAAAGTAAACACCCTTTTAAGAGGTAATATGGTAAATCTCTACAGTTTTAAAGTGGGAATATATCCAAGAAAATAAACAGTGTGTTGTGCCCGGCAGCAGGCGGTGGTGTTCAATGGTTTTGTTACTCTTCCTTCAGCTCTATACCACTGACACAGTCACTCAGCTAGCCCTGGGCTCATTTTTATTGTTTAACTATTTACATAATAACCTTCCTCAACAATAACAAAAGCCAGATGATAAGATTTTAAATCAGATTTTACTTTAACATTTCCTTCCATACATTTAATTTTTCTTGATAACACTTTCAAATGTGTTTATGAAAATCCACAGTACCTGGCACATGAGCTGCTTTATCAATAATGACAATGACTGGAGACTGTAAGAAATACGGATAAATAAAGTCCAGTAATGTACCACGTATGTAGCATTCACCCCGTATGCTACGCCCAGTGGGGATGTTCACTGGCACATGCTATCAGTTTCAGTGAAAGACCAGAACTGAAGACGGGCCAGCTCTCACAAGACAGGCTTTGTAGCAGTGCCTGGAGTCTCGGCACAGAGAGGACCAGTGAGTATTATTAACAGTTAACCTCTGCAGCCATAACATGGTGTTGGCAGTCCTAACACTTCCCATTACAACCGTGAAAACAAATATTAGGGGAATTAAGACCCAGAAGCAATGGAGCCAGGACAACATTCCAGGTTTCTGACTCAGATTTGATTTTCGACAGATTGCCTGGCTCCATCACTAATGACCTTTTGACTCTTAGGCTAATGTAGCTCCAATTTCATGACTCGAATACTAAAATGAAGGAGCTCTGGTAGCACGTTGGTTACGAGATGGGCTGCTAATCTCAAGGTCAGCAGTTCAAATCTACCTGTGGTACTGCAGGAGAAACATGAGGCTTTCTGCTTCCATAAAGGCTGACAGAGTTGGAAACTCTCTACAGGGTTGCTATGAGTCGGAACCGACTCCACAGCACATAACTACCACCACCATCAGTGTTAAACTGGAGTCCTGGTGTGGTGCCATGGGATGATATATTGGACCACAAGATCAGTTTGAATCACAAGCTCTGCAGTTCAAATTCACCAGTTGCTCCTCAGAAACCCTACACAGTCTCTAAGAGTCATAACCAACTCGATGGCACTTAACAACAACAACAACAGTAAAGTCAAACAAGGGCCCTGGCACGATGCCACAGGGCCAGCATTGGACTGCGCGGTCGGCAGCTGGAAACCACCAGTTGCTCTCAAACCCCTCCCTGTACGGTGTTGCTGTAAGTTGGAACCAACTCAAAGGCACTTACTTAAATGCAACAACGTTCAAATAAGACTGAACCAAATAGCCCAAACTCAGTCTCTAAAAAAAAAAGCAGCTGTTTTTAAATTCATTCTAACTCCTGGTGACCCCAGCTGGAGGAGCTGAACTGTTCCGCAGAATTTCCAAGGCTGTCCTCTTTACGGGAGCACATCTCCAGGTGGTTTCTTCGATGGAGTCACTGGGTGGGTTCAAATTCCTAACGTTCAACTCGCTGTCAACTGCTTAATTGCTGCACCATCAGAGCTGAAACTTATTCCTACTGAAGGCAAATTAATAAGCAAATCTGTGTGGCAGATCAGATGTGGAGCCATTCCCAAAATGGAAAGTCCTGTCTATAAAGGGAGGTTCCTGATACAGCATCTCAACTCCACCCAATTGTACCACTACTTCCATGTTGTTTGAGAGACAGGAAAAATGACCAGACTTCTAAATTGAAAGCAAGCATTTGAAAACAGTCAACCAACCAAACATACCAGGCCAAATTTAGCCACTTTGCCAAAAAGGACTAGACGGTGATGGTAGTGGTTGATGATGGTTAAGTGCCATAGAGTTGGTTCCAACTCACAGCGACGCTGTATGGGGTTTTCCAAGGCTACAAAACTTGATAGAAGCAGAAAGCCTCCTCTTTCTCTTGCGGAATCACTGGTAGTTTCGAACAGCTGACCATGAGGTTAGCAGCCAGACTCGTAACCACTCTGCTACCAGAGGACTACATCATCTCTAAAGAGCCATTCACGCTCAAGTAGAGGGAGAAACTGGGAATTGTTAGACATGCACCCACCTGAAAACAAAAATGGTATAAATCATGAAATACGTGTGTGCCTCTTGCTGTAGATGGTATTTTACCTTTTAAGTATGGATGTGTTGAGATATTTCTCATATTAGAAATAAAGTTAAAATAATCAGACTCTTAGGATCTGACCCTTTGTTCTACATTCTGTTCAGTGGAATACAGAGCCCCACCTCCCAACTCAGCCTTCCCTAATTCAATCCTTTTCTAAAGCTCCCTGATTCACACTTCCCACCCTAAAAGTTAGACTTTGGATTTGAAATATGTCCTGGGGTCTCAGCCATTACAGGGCTAACACAAAGACTCCTTGAGTGTTTTGAGGGCAGAACTGGAATCTAAAACAGAGTATCAATCTGACAGTGACATTCAGCACAATCAGTCTTTGCCTGAAAGTCAGGATCTACCGTACTAGTCAGGCAGCAATGGCGGCTCAACGGGAAGCCCACCAAGGACATAAACATTTCAGCATCACCTACATGCTCAAAATGTGTAATATTTGTTTCTCACCTAACAACAACAACCCTAACCCTTTACGAATGAAACAGTATATGTTAGATGTTGACTAATTGAGAGAGCACCCATTAGAAACAGAATTAACAACTGCTGTTCCGTGTCATCGAGTCAGTTCCAACTCATAGCCACCCTGCATAGGGTTTCCAAGGAGCAGCTGGTGAGTTTGAACTGCCGACCTTTTGGTTCAAACCAACCTTGAGGTTGGGTGCTTATCCTACAGCACCACACCAAGCCTCTAGAATTAATAAAACGAGTCAATAAAATATGAGGTAATTTTTGTCGAAATACAAGGGACTTCAAAAGCAGGTGGGAAAATCTATTGTCTTTTGATTCATTTTTCCATGAACTTTTTAAGGCCCCTCAGACAATTACTTGGCAGGGAATCTGCATGAACACATGCAGGGCACAAGCCACTGGAATGGTGGCATCAATTCAACGAGCAGAAGGAGGCCGTGGAACATGTGCCTCCTTGTTAGTGTTGCCACATCAAGTCTGGCAGTGGCCCTCAGCCCACGGCCCACCTTAACCCTATGCTGACATGCTGAGAAAAGTCAGGATTACAGATTGGAAGCAGTACCAAAGGTATACATGGTAGCACATGCTCGAGCTGATAGTTGTTAAGTGCCAAAGAGTAGACCCTGTAATAGGGGTCCCAAAGCTGTCTCTTGGCAGAAGCGGAAAGCACCATCTTTCTCCAGTGAGACGAATGGTAGATTCACAGTCCACTTCAGGAGGGCTGTACTGAAATGTACAGACAGTGGGGTCACCAGGGTTGGTGACACCTGCCACCCAGAGTGGTAACTTGTCATCAACCACCATTCCCTCTCCATCCATCACCTGCCAGTCAAGGCTGTGGCAGGCACCCCTGGGCCAAGAGGGGAGAAGCCAGGGGCCAGGGGGTGACACCCACCCAGAGGACCACCACTGAGGGCAGACTAACAAGAGGTCATCGGGGAAGAACAGAGATGATACACAGAGTCTGGATTGGGCCTGTGCAGTGCACAGCCCTGGGGTGTAGTGTGCAGCTACAGCTTCCCCGCTGCCAGTGTGCCCAGGCTCAGGGGAGACAGCCAGAAGTGTCCCCGCTCCTCTGTCCAGGAGGATGCACAAGTCACCACCAGGCCCGTCTGCAAGTATGCAGCAGTTAGAGTCTTCTGAGGCTGCTACATTCTAAAATCCTGCTCAATATTGCTTCTTGAGTGGAAAACAGTGCTTTACTCCCTTATCAATTAATCTGTTGTTATTAAGTGCTGTCGAGTTGGTTCCAACCCACAGCAAGCTTGGATAGGGTTTCCAAGGAGCAGCTGGTAAGCTTGAACCACCGATGTTGCGGTTCAAACCAACTTTGCAGTCCAGCACATTAACCCACAGCACCACAGCAGGACTCCATTAATTAATATGTTGTTGTTGTTATGTGCCGTGAAGTCGGTTCCGACTCATAGCGAGGGTACCCTATACAGGATTTCCAGCTCTGTAAATCTTTACAAGAGCAGAAAGCCTCATCTTTCTCCCGTGGAACAGCTGGTCGCTTCCAACTGCTGACCATGAAATTAGCAGCCCAGTTTGCAACCACTATGCTACTAGAGCTCCCTGAACCACAAGATCGGCGGCTCACACCCACCAGCCACTCCTTGTAAACCCTCACCAACCTTGTGGTTCAAACTGACCTTATACCACTGAGAAATGCCACTGAAATTTCAAAAGCAGATTGTTGTTATTATATTGTTAGGTGCCACTGAGTCAGGGATTCTAAGGTTATGAATCTTTATGGGAGAAGAAAAGCCTCATCTTTTGTCCATGGAGTGGCTGGTAGGTTTGAACTATCAACCTTGTGGTTAGCAGTCCAGTGCTTAGCCTACAGCACCACCAGACTATACATGTTAAATGGCCTCTTCCTGGTGGTGTTAGGTGTACACACAGCAGAAGGAAAGCCCGCCTGGTCCTGTATCATCCTCACAATCGTTGCCAGGCTTGAGCCCACGGCTGCAGCCACGGTGTCAGTCAATCTCATTGAGGGGCTTTCTCTATTTCGCTCACCCTCCACTTCACTAAATATAATGTCCTTCTCCATGGATGGGTCCCTCCTGATGGTCCTAAGTACAAAAGACCAAGTGTCACCATCCTTGCTTCTAAGAAGCATTCTAGCGGAACTTCTTCCAAGACAGACTGATTTGGTTTTCTGGCACTCCTTCTTGATAATATTCACTATTCTCTGCCAACACCATAATTAAAAGGCATCATCTCTTCTTCAGTCTTCCTATCCATCTAGATTTTTATGCATATAAAGCAAATGAAAATATTATGGCTTGAATCAGGCACATTTATTCCTCAAGGTGCCCTTTGCTCTTGAACATTTT